CCCCCCCCCCCCCCGTGGGTTCAACTCCCCCCTCGGACGCCTCTGGGACACCTCTCGCGCATCTCTTATGGCATCCACTTTGGCTTAACTCCTCCGGGATACGGTGCAACAGATTCAACAAGCTCACATGTTCATGACATCGACATCGATAGAAGAAACCAAACAAATCATTCAAGCAGCTTTGTTTTGCCTCTGGGACACCTCTTGGGCACCTCTTATGGCATCACTGGTTCAACTCCTCCGTGGAGGTTTTGGGATACAGTGCAACAGATTCAACAAGCTCACAGGTTCGTGAACACATCGGATGCATCGAACAGTGTGGCAAAGTCCAGCCACGCTTCCTTAATTGTCGGGGACTTCAATTCGAAGGTTGGCTGTGTCATTGCTGTTTGTGTGTCTTACATGTTCACAACGTTTTACCTCATGAGCATTTGCCTCACTCCGCTTGATGTCCCACCAGTCCGGATGCACCCCTGCTAGCTTTCGTCACCTACCCTCGGCCTCAAGTGTAGTTCGGACTACGATTCAGGCTGTTTCACTCAGCTAGTAGCATTAAGCGTAGCTGGCGCTATTTTTGGTGCGTTCGTGAAACTGCTGAAACAAACTACTTAGCTACTCAAGCAGCAGTGCTTAGCTGTCACTAGCTGAATGTGATTGAATGTGTTCACAATGTTTTGTGTGAACAAAAAGAGCTAAAAAGACAAACCGCACCTCATCGCTTTTCGTCGCGAAGCATACAAACCGCGGAGCCTGTTGCGCGACCGCACTGACGCTGCACCTGCACCTGCACAGCACTCACTTGCATGGATGCATCGAAGCAGCATCGATGCTAACACTGTATAGCTGCTACGAATGCACAGATGCAAATGATCGATTCATATCGAGTCTATGTTTAGCCCTCCCTTAATTCGTAGGCGCCTACTCAATGAAGTAAGGGCTTTGCCCAAACTACGTAACTTGCCACTAGCGACGGATAGCGCTTTTTCACTCCCCTCCCCGCCGCCCTAAAGCTCACGGGAAATGAATTTGTCAAGGCATTTCAACGATCCATTCTTCCTGGCCGGCTGCCTGGGTCATGCCATTTGTGTTTTCGACCAGTTTGAGAGTTCAGCCCACTCAGCGAGACGTGAGATCAGAGGTATGACGTTTTTCACTTTGGCTCTTGCCTCAAAACCGACTTTGGTTCATTGATGTTCATTCAGTTTGCCCAGCGTTCTTTCAATCTCTCACTTACATTTTGTGAGGTGTGCGCCCTCCATTTTGTTCCACACTTTGCGCTTTCGAATGTGAAGTGCCTTTGCCGCAGTCAGGTTCAGTTTAGCGTTATGAGAACGGTTTTTGTTTGAAAAATCTTCAGTCAACTGCAGGCAAGAAGATGGAGAAGACTCGATCAAGATCGGAGGCATTGTCTCCGATTGTCAGGAAGCTGAGGGGCCCGTGACTCAAGACAAAGAAATTTGGTCTAATATGTTTAAAACCGCTGTACCTTCGGCTTCAATTTCTTGGCTTTGCGATACGTTTCCGGAAGTGCTTCCGGAGACATGTCACATGTCGCGTCCGCGGGTGAACTCAGCGCGGATTATATGTGCTTCGACCAAAGTAGATGGCGTTTATTGGCGTCCTGGTTCCAAGATGATTTTAAAATGACAGCATTGAATCGAACACCCATGCAATAGACGTCCTTCTTCTTCAGCGTTTCTTTACGTTTCAAGTCGCAGATTGGGTGTGAAGGTCTTCCCCCCCATGCACGAGCCCGCACGTAAGGTATCGTAAGGTGTCATGCCAAGCTCTCGACCACATATCCAAACAAACAAACAAACAAACAAACAAAGCTCTCCCACTCGGCAAACTGGGCGCACGTCGATTTGCGAAGCAAGACAGTCGGAATCCCGAGGCAATCAAATGCAATAGAAGCAGCCATATTACGCAGCCTGAAATAGAAGCATCCCAAATCGCTATGCCGCTATGTGCTCCTGTTTCCTCTATTCTCGACGTCACAAGGCTGTTCTTTGTCCAGTCCATCAGAGAAAGGCGTCGACAGGTGCACAGACTGGAACCACAGGTTTCGTCTCAGAGTGTCGATCCGTTAGCTTCTTGTTACTACTAGTAAGGCACTTGTTACTACTAGTAAGGCACTTGTTACTACTAGCGATGCACTTGTTACTACTAGCTTCTTGTTACTACTGGTAAAGCACTTGTTACTAGGTTTCGTCTCAAAGTGTCGATCCGTTTTCGCGAGGTGGAAGATGCGCCTTTTGCCTCATTGGTGGGTGAGTCTTCCCAAGAGCAGCTCGGTCGAGTCAAAACGAGAAATCGAGCAAAACGTGTTGCTCCGAATCCAAGGTCACCGAGTGGCATCAAGACAGTCTTGCAAATCCAAAAGGCCGTCTTTTTGGGTTCATTTCAAGTGGGGAAGGTGCCTTTAGAACCGTTTGAGAGAATGGTTTAAAACATGTTGATAGACATCATCCACTTCTGTTTGCATCCTCCCCATATTGTCGAAGGCATTATACGCTGTTTGCAGCAGCTTCGTGCTGCATCCCATTGGATGTTTTTGCATCTATGCTCGAATTGTGAGGTGATGGCCCTTGCTCAGACGAAAGTGCAGACAAAGGCCCACTTCGGTATGTAGACGCAACGCACACTAAATGCTTTTCTCAAAGTGCAGATCGATTGAGTTCCACCATGTTCCACCTAATGAGATGTTTTTTGTTTGTCCTCTTGAGATGTCCTCTTTGAGGTGGGAGAGGCTCCGTATTTCATTATAGTGGCAGCCTCGAGTCGGCTCAGTCGAGTCGCGCTTCGCTTTAAAGCTTCTTCGCTTTAGGCTGTTGCTAGTAGCGAAGAAGCGAAGAATGTTACTAGTAGCGTCCTCTAACCCCCACCGGCGCGCGTGCGCGCGGAAAAGCTCCTAGTAGCATCCTTGCTCCTAGTATTAAGGCACTTGTTTCTACTAGCTTCTTGTTACTACCAGTAAGGCACTTGTTCCTAGTAGCGTGGCACTTGTTCCTAGTAGCATCCTTGCTCCTAGTAGTAAGGCCAAGAGCCCCTAGTAGCGTCCTTGATCCTAGTAGCTTCGCTTCTTCGCTTGTGAGGCTGTTGCTGTGGCCGGCTTCACTTTGTCTCTTCTCAGCATTTGCGTTTCCTTGATATTTGTCAAAGGAGTAGCTCAGGAGCGGCGTGTTCTTACCCCAAAGAACAGTTTGTGCCTGGCCGCATTTTGCAGGATACAAGGCGGGAGGGGCTACCAAATGCATCAGTGAAAGGCTTAGGGACCACAACTTCCTTGCAATTAGACCTTTCTATTGTATATACCTTTCTTCATGTTTCTTCCTGTGTTTTTCATTCGCCATTCTTTCAAACTCTCCTGAGGCACTGTTGCAACACCGATTACGGGCGATGCACTCAATTTCGACGAACAGTATCACCACACTTTCCTTTTCACATCCGAATGGTGCCGTGAGGGTGTCAATCCGTGACTTGGTTTGTGGGTCGACCAAGGCCATGGGAATCGGGCAGCCGAAGTGGCTTGGAACTGAGACGGGGAACAAATCACACCAATTTGAAAGACCCCAAAACAAAGACCCAATCCTCGAGACGACACAAATCCCCTCCAGACTTTGCTCAGCTGAGTCCAACCAGTGGCACATAGTGGGTGTTGTTCTTTCCGCTCTCAAATGGCCCAGGCATCAGAACCATCATGCTCAGAACTGAGAATGAAGGGCACAAACCAAGACAATGACCAAGACCCTCTAATTTAACTTAATTACTTCTTGTTACTACTAGTAAGGCGCTTGTTACTAGAAGCGATGCACTTGTTCCTAGCTTATTGTTTGTGAGATACAAATGTCATTTGTGCGTTTCAATTGCCATTGTCATTTGCTTGGGATTTGTGCCGAGGACGTTGCCCCGTCAAAGACGTGGCACTTCCCGTGCCGGCCTTAGGCACGCGGCTCGTGCGGGCCTTTGCCGTAAAGTTACAAAACGAAGAAAGAAAGGTCAATTCGTCTTCCAGTCTTTCTTTCTCAGGGCACAAGATCGAGCAGGCCATGTGCAAATTGTGGTGCACCAACCCCTGGAAGGGGGCAAAGTGGGTTAGGACCTCAGGGACAGCACAATGAGCGTTTTCTGCAAAACATCGACTGGAACAGTTTTCACTCGTGTTTTCTCTTGGTTGTAGCTTGCGTACTGCTAAGTCTGCTTCCTTTAGAGGTCCACCCCCCAAAAGAAAACAAGTGGACGAAAAGGAAAAATTGGAAAACAAAGTATCAAAGAAAGGTTTTTGCCTTTCCTCTCACAGCGTTGTGTGAGGCCTGAACCTTTCCGAAGACGATTTGGTGGTGAACAATTTTGGTGATTTTCGCGTTCTTGCCCGAGTGACGGTCTTTTCAGTCTTTCGTCATTCTCAATTCATCCAATCATTCTGAAAAAAATTGCTTTACAACGCTTGAAACATTTTATTGTGTTTGTTCACCCTTATTGGTTTGTCCCAGGCCTGTGACTTTGGATTTCAAATTGGGGACCGCATCGTTCAGGCTTGGAAGGGGATGGTCTTGAGTGCACAACATTGCGGGTTTCGAAGGACTTTCCGAAGAGTCACAGAATCCATGGGCAATTTGCCTTTGAAAAGGTTTGAACAGAGCCTTCGCTTTGCTGTTCAGCGAAGACATGCGATTTGTTTGTTCTGAGGTCAACGCAATTCCCGTCTTCAAAGAGTCAGACTTTCGATTTGTGATGCAGGAGAGCCGTGCCACCAGAGAGCCAGAGTCCTTTTGAGTGTCCTTTTCTTTTTCGTTCTTTCCTGTCTTGAATCTGTGATCGTTCTCTTCCAAGAAACATACCCGGGTGACCAGTTGACCACCCAATGGAGATAAAGGGAAAAGGATTAAAAATTAAAAGGTTTATTAAAAACAAAAAGAAAGAAACGCATGTTTTTCGTTTGGGAGCTCTAGGACGCTCTTCGTCGACACGAAGATTCCGGCGAGCTTCGAGCCTCAAGACAGAGCGCACATTCCCAAACAAAGCAAAAGTGTTTGAAATCATAAGTTTCTTGACCAAAAAGCAACATGAAAAACTTTTGGAAAGATACAGTTATATTATCGAGGTTCATATCTTGATGCGTCTGATTGTTCGAGGCCGATTCTGTTTGAAGTCATCCGTTGCAAGCTGAGTCGAGATGGCTTTCTCAACGAACTGCCTTTGTCCACTGACGTTCTATGATTCTAAAATCCGCTGACTTTCTGTTAAACAGATATGTTGTTGAAAGGTTGCAATATAATCAAATATGATCGATATTTGCTTGCTCTTTTAATTTATTGTTCTATATGGTTCTATGTTTTCTTTGTCCAATTGAAGCATCGATTTTTCAAGTTATATACTGTGCTCGACTTCACAGGCGCCCCAAAGCCCATGTGTGGAGCTCAGGAACATGTTACTAGTAGTAAGAATGCTACTAGTAGTAAGGCCAGGAGCCCCTAGTAGCGCTTTTGTTCATCTTGCTGTTGAAAGTCATTCGCATGACATTGCCTCACTTATTTTCTTCAGGGCAATGCCTGCAGGATGCGATGCATATCCAGCAACTTCGCACCTTGGTTTAACGTTGCAATCTGCAGCAATCTTCGAAGTACTAGTAGCATTAAACATCATTTCAGAATTTATACTGTTTTTTCTCCATAGCAATCAATGAACTTCATGCGTCTAAGGCCTGCAGTCATGAGAACGATGCTTCCGAAGCATCCGGACTTTGAGGAACGGTTGCCGTGCTAGAAATAGGAACGCCAAGGTGTGCTTGAATTTGGTTAATTCTTGTTTCTACTAGCAAACATTGTTTCTATTTAGGAACAATTCTGACACCAAAAAGGTAAGAAGTTCTGGAGGACATCACTGGAGAATGGTGCTATGGCAAGACTGGCGATGCCAATGCCCGAGAACACAAAGTTCCAGACACCTCAAAATCTGACAAAGCTGTGTGTTCAGGCTGATCGATTTTCATACTCGGTCCGCAAGGCAGGGAACACCTGGGACTTCCGTTGACAAATGTGTTGGAGCAGTGTTCAAGTTCAAGTGTTGAATCAGGTGGGTGAGGCTTTGAGTTCAGTCCTCAGATGTATCAAGTTGTTCATTGTGTCCTTTGCCTTTCTTTGATTTTCCTGCCTTTTTCATCCCATTTCTCTAACGCCTACCTGATGAAAACATTAGCTTTAGGGTCCCTTCCCTTTCAGGCTTTGAGCAAGTCTTGCCGAATGGGCAGAAGGCAAGTGCCAACTTGAGCTCATTTTTTTGATGAATTTGGTCATCAGCCGGGGAGGAATCATATCAACAGTGGTGCATCCATGTGCATCCTATTCCCTCATTTGAGGGGGCTCCTCCTCCTTACTAATCCTTTTTCATCCCTTCCTTTTTGACTGTGACAGCATCAGCCCTCTCATTACTACCATCTCTCTAAAGAATGGAGGAAATGAACAAAGGGTGTAAAGATCTATCTAGAGACAAACCGGGTAAAGCAAGGAAGAAGCAGCTAAGTCAAAAGATAAGGATTTATTAAAAATACATAAGAATAGAACATTAAGAAGATCTCCAGAACTGGTTTAGAAAAGCACGAGAAAGGTGGCCGGCATGTCCAGATCCCAGGGAGAGTGCAGAGGGGAAGAGGAAGATACAGGAGGACAGCCAAAAGGAGTCCAAAAAAAAAAGTAGTAAACAGCATATTATGTGTTATGTGCCTTTCGTTTCTTTTTTTACTTTTGTTTTATTTCAAGGTCTGAAGGCTTGCCCTAATCTAGGAAGGGTTCTTTAAGAAAGCTTCTGTTGGGCTGGACAGGGTTTCTTGAAGCACCTGAGCTTTAGTAGCTTCCCAAGGTAGCTTACTTAAGCTACTAGCCACATTTTTGGAATGGAGTAAAGACTGCCGCAAGGCCTGCCATGCGTTGATCCTGTCGTTTTGAACCTCTCCGATCTCCTCTCCTCCCAGGCTGACTCCAGAGGATCCACAGAGCCCTTGGCTGAGGCCCGTGTGAAGGATACGACACCACAGGCTGATACAAGATCGATTCAATGATAGGTTTGAGGCCATTGCTCTTACGATGATTCGACATGATTCGACCATATGCCTCATCGACAATGTGGCGCTTGTTGCGTCGCTCGTATTCTGTAGCGTCCTTGCTCCTAGTAGCGAGGCCAGGAGCCCCTAGTAGCGTCCTTTACCTCGCCTCAGGAGCGAGTTGCGGAGTTCTCAGGGCTTGTTCGGGGAGCTACGGATTCATTTTGATCCAGATGAGCAGGTGGGAGAATGTGTCTCAGAGTTATGGAGAGTCAGAGAGTCAACAATTAATTGAAAAGGTGGGAGGAAAACGACTGAAAAAAGTATTTACCCCAAAAATCGAGAGAGGGTCAGAGAGGGTTAGAAGAACCCTTTTCCCTATGCCTGCTTTTGCCATGTAATTTGTCTTGCTACGTGCTGCTTGCTAAATGTGTTGGTTTCCCACGTTCTCTTCTATTTCTGGAAGTAAAGTTTGTGAACCTTTGAAGAAGACAAACACAAGGAAACACGAGCACACATGCAAAACGTGCAAGACAAAGTGCACAATGTACAACAACGAGAACACAGTTTAAAAGTGGTTTCATGTTTTGTTTTCCTTTCCCTATTAGGAGCAAGGACATGTAAGGACGCTGCTAGGGGTTCCTTTCTCTTTTTCGTTTTTTTCGCTTGCTTTTGCTTTCTCTTTTTCTTCTTGTTTCCTTTATCGGTTTCTTCGACGACTTGCAGGTCTTGGTGAGTCAAGTTCGGCCTGCTGGCCGACAAAAATGGGGCGACGAACGAGTCGCCAAACGGGTCAGCTCTCCGAGTTGGAAGTGAGTCAGGAAGATGGAGACATAAAAATGATAAAGGGTCTTTGTAATGAGAAAAAACAAGGAACAAGAAGACCTGGATGAAAAATACTAAGATCAACAGGAAAAGACATGGGCATCGGCATAAGGTTTCAAATCAACTAAAATAATGGCTTTTCTCACTGAGGTGGCAAGAGAATGAGATCAGGACGTGCCCCACAATGCACCACAGCACCGTGCAAAGGAAATAGAGAGAGAGAGAGCGAGTGTGTGTGTGTGATGCTATCACGTCGTGAAGTTGCGTTAGTTTTTTTTGCAAATTCAAAGCAGTAGTTGATTGCATTCTTGTTGGGGCTCAAGCAGTGGACCAGAAAGCAAAAAAAAAGAAAGCACAGAAAGAGACCGTGATTTACCATCGGCTGGATGACAGATGACAAGAGGCGGGATTGTGGCAGACAGAGGAAGTGAAGCCAAGAAAAGAGGTGGTCAATCAGCTAGCGCAAAAATAAGACAGGAAGAAAAGTCTATATGAAAAAAATAGTAAAAGGTGTATTTTCACTCCATGTAATATGTACACTTTTACCATGCACATATGTATAGGATGTCATTGCACTTACTTCTGCAGCTCGCGGTCCAAAAGGGTATCGTAGCTTAACGGCTGTTTCTATAGGTTATCAGCCGTAGTGCTCTAACCACAGCCATGGACACTCTCGCTATCCCAGGGAATGCCACATCATCAGTCGCTGTGCCAGCCGGTCTCGCGACTGAGCCCCGTGTAGATCTAGATGATCCCATGGGTTCAGCCCCGGTCACGGCATACTTCCAATTCGTGCAGCAGAACATTCAGCAAGTCACGAAAGCTAGCCTTAGCTAGCTGGAGTTGCTCTTGCTTTAGCAAGTTAAGTGACGGGGTGGACGCGCCCCAGAAACCTCAAATAATTGATTAAATCAATCTTATGGACCCCCCCCTCCCCGCGGTTCGACTCCCCCCTGCGCGCGGTGAGCGGGACCACCAAGCAGCTGCAGCACACCAAGCATCTGCAGTCTACCACCAAGCAGCTGCAGCAAACCACAAAGGAGCAGCAGCAGCAGCACAAGCAGCAGACCCAGAGCAGCAGCAGCAGCAGACCACCCAGCGCCAGCAGCAGCAGCAGACGACCCGGCGCTAGCAGAGCACCGAGCGCAGCAGCGCCCAGCGCAGCAGCGGCATCAGCAGCAGCAGCAGCACCAGCAGCAGCAGCAGCAGGAGACGCAGCCAAGGCAGACCACCCAGCAGCAGCAGGAGCTACATTGGACAGTAATACCTTTTTGGGTGCTATGTGCAGGCGGCATTTCTTGCATCATAGCCCTACCCCGCGTACACGACTAGTTACGGCGTGGAGTCAGGCGGTGTCATTTGAGTCTTGTGCTGCTGCTGCTGGGGGGTCTGCTGCTGCTGCTGGGCAGTCTGCTGCTGCTGCTACTGGGAGGTCTGCTGGTGCTGCTGCTGCTGCTGCGCTGGGTGGGCTGCCGCTGCTGGTGCTGGCGCTGGGTGATCTGCTGCTGCTGCTGGCGCTGGGTGGTCTGCTGCTGCTGCTGCTGCGGCGCTGGGTGGTCTGCTGCTGCTGGGTGGTGCTCTGCTGCTGCTGCGGCGCTGGTTGGTATGCTGCTGCTGCTGCTGCTGCTGCCGCTGGGTGGTCTGCTGCTGCTGCGGCACAGCAACCGCTGGAAAAACCAAGCCAAAGAAGTGATGGAAAGGGGGCACCAAACAAAACCTGCTCCTGTCAGGTGGCAGTTGCTTACTGAATGAGACTCGACGCACCACAAAGCACATACTAACACTGCTTCTCTAGAGTTTCCCACGGGACTTGCAAGTGGACCGGCAGTTACCCAATGAGAGTGACTGTGCAGCCCGCCCCCGACTTGTTTGGACGAGGAGGCCCGGCTAGCTTTCGTTCACCCCCTCTGGCCTCAAGTGTACAATGGCAACGAGGATGCCATCATTGCTGAGGCTGAACGAAGACACAAGGAGGTATTAGCACAATGGATGGACACGGTAAAAGCCAAGTTCCACCAGGCGATTCTTGAGGTAGAAGGCAGACACCCTGTCTTGACAGGTGTGCCTTCTCCAGGCTCTTCTTTCACTGCACCCATGGCTGCAGCTGGCCTCTTTTGGGGCGCCATGCTGGGTGTGTGTCCTAGGCCCTAAGGTGGTTTGTGAAAGGTGCCTGTGGAGCTGTAGATTGAAATGCTGATGGTGTTGGGGAAAATTGTGTGCTTGAGCACCTTGAACCTCAAAGGCCACCAATCATTTTCACCTCTGGTTTAAGAACCTTTCAGGCCTTTTTTTTAGAACTTTTCAGGTCTTTTTTTAGAACTTTCAGGCCTTTTTTTTAGAACTTTTCAGGTCTTTTTTTAGAATTTTCAGGCATTTTTTATTGTTTTCCTTATAAATTAAAATAAGAAACCAATAAAAAGTTCAAAAAAAAAGGCCTTAAAAGTTCTAAAAAAAGGACTGAAAAGTTTTAAAAGAAGGCCTGAAAGTTTTAAAAAAGGACTTGAAATTTTCTAAAAAAATCTGGCGGTTGCCTTCCCCAGGCTTTGGCTTGATACCACTGAACCCCAAAACCTTCACCAAAGGGTGGCCACCAAGTACCAGACACCAGAAAAGGTAACCAGGAAGGGTTGCACCAAAACCCAAAAGGGTACCCCAACCAGACCCACCAAAACCATCCACCCCAACCCCTCCTTCACCGCACCCTTTTTTCCTTTCAAAAACCTGTGCTCTTGATGGACTTTGCCATCCTGTACAAGCCTTCTGCAGGCTCTTTGTGGTGCTCTGCATCAGCCTTCTCCAGGCTCAAAAATCTACTGAACCATCTGTGTTTGTTGGTACTCCTTCTTCAGGAGACTGTTCTGGCATGGGCTCATCTGCAGCCTCTGGCATGGGCTCATCTGGAGCTCCTTCTTCAGGAGCTTGTTCTGGCTTAGGCTTCTCTGGGGGGGGCTCCTTCTTCAGGAGGCTTTTCTGGTTCTGCTGGGTTGCTGGGTGGCTCTGGAAGGTCAGCTGCAGTGGGCTCTGCAATTGGGCCTTCTGCAGGCTCTGGTTTTGGATCTACTCTTGGACAATCCTGAGGACCCTCATCACCCTCATGAATGGTCTTTGGCTTTTTCTTTGCCTCTGTTGAGGGTGGCTGAGGCTGTGGCTGGGCAGGTTCCCAGCTGTGTTGTGAACCTGTTTCCTGCCTGTGCTGTTCAGAGGCATCTTCCTTAGCCTTCCTTAGGCTTTTGGGTGGAGTGGGTGGCCATTTTCCCTGAGGTCCTGGCCCCTTGCCTTCTCCAGGCTTGGATTGAGGTTTTTTGAAACTTGGCCTCTGACCTTTCCAACCTGGACCTGTAGGTGGGCCAACATCAGGTTCACACCGTGAGGCCAGAGCTTTGGCTTCATCCAGAAGGTCCTTGAACCTTTGCTTCAATTCTTTGGTTTCCCAGACCTGTGGATGAGGCTTCAGATGCTCAGGCACTGGCTCCCCAGCTCTTTCCAATTTTCTCCTGTCCAGCCTTTTCAGGTCTGAAGGCCTTGACCTGACCATGTACCTTCTCCAGGTATCAGGCTGCTGGTTGTACCATTGTTTCCAATCCTCTTTTGTCCACTCACCAGATGTGCCTTCCCCAGGCTCTGTGGATGCAGGCTCATGCCACCATGTGGAGCTCTGCCACCAGCCTTCTCCAGGCTCATTGGGTGACTGCCACCAACAGTGGCTTTGCCACCAGCCTTCTTCAGGCTCTGAATCCTCAGGCGTGTGCAGAGATGATGCCTCTGAGAGCCAATCATCATCTGCAACTCCTGGGTCTGGGAATCTCCAAACACCCAGCTGGTCATCCCAAACAGGCCTGGTTTCCACATCAGTGTTCCACCAGTTCCCATCATTAGACCTGTCATGGATCCATTCTTTGATGCTTGGATCCTTTTTAAAAGCCTTCTGCAGGCTCTCCATCTCCAGTGCATCGAGTTCATCAAACCATCCTTTGCCTTTGCGCTTTCTCTGCCACACATAGTAGTACTTTCCGTTCCAATAGCGCACCCTCCACCAATACAGGCTCTCCATGCCTTCTGCAGGCTGCACAAAGCCAATGATGGCCAACAGTGCCAAGATGGCAAAAGCCTTCTTCAGGCTCATGTTGGGGCAGCTAGCCTTCTTCAGGCTCAGGGTGGCAAAGGCAGCCATGGCTCAAGTCCTACCTAAACCAAAGCTGTTCACCTACCATGTGTTCTTCCCCTTACACTCTGTGGGGTGAGTGTGTGTGTGGTTGCATATGTGGTCCATTCAAAGGATGTACTGTGGAAAACATGTGTGTCAGTGTGTTCAGTTTGTTGCAGTGTGAAAAGTGGAGTATATACACATGGTATGTCTTTGAACTTGTGATGGTGTGTTTGCTTGCTGTGTGTAATGTGGAAAATATGTTGGTACATGGTGCTGTGTGTGTGGAATGTGTTATATGAAATGTTCTTTGCTTGTGTGTATATGTTTGTATGGCATATGTGTGTGGCTGTGTGTGTGTGTGTCCACTCCTGTTTCCAAGGACACTACCCTAGTTTCTCT